GCAACGAATACAAACTTTTTCACCTATAGTTATAAACCAATGGAACCGCTTACCCGCCGAAGCCATAAACACCAAAACATTGCTGTTCAAAATCCAACTGGATAAAAAAACATTCGAATAAATGGGAGAACCTTTGACAAGCCGTCAGCTTCCTGTCTTCGCTGAGACCACAAGAGACGTTGGCCCCTCTGGCAAATTCGGGTAAAAAAAAAAAAGTGAAAATGCGTAGCCTCTAGCACAATTTGCTTTCAAATTTGTTTTATATTTTACTACTAAAATCTACACCTAATTATGAGTCTCCATCAGCATATAGCTACGATTACCTGACAAGGGGAAGATATTAAAATATCACGAACACGTCACATCACACTAGGCTGGAGTCAGGAACCTAACCTTTGTTTAAGAGAACGGTTGAGGGGTTGCGGAAGTCCCGCTCTTCTCCCTGCAGGGACTGCAGCATTCTACAATAATATGTTTTTATATACTTTTAAATATGATAAATTATTATTTTTTTTGTGACATGACAATGTACTTGGAAAATCTATACAAGCAAACACTTCTCAGCACTTAACAGTAACAATATTTTTTTCCCAGCATGCCTGTTCCGGGGACCCAACAGGAATGCTAAACATATCACAATAATGAATACATTAATAACAACACACAGAAGGTTTAAGCTAAGCTTAGCAGTGTTTCATCAGAGGCGCAATTAGCGACGTAACGTTTCTGCAGATCATTATAAAATGATTCCAAATAGAAGCTAGAAACCCCAAAATACAGGTAAAAAAATATCTAAAAACGGAAACCAAATAGAGATGGTCCATTATACATGTATACTAATTCGGTTACAGAAAAGAACAATGTATATTAGTGATAATGAAAGCTAATATTGACCCAAACTATGTTTACATTCTAGCACGCGTGTGGAATAGTTTCAGAGTAATGTGGCAAGTAAGCAGGACAAAGGAATGTGTAATGAGCACGTCAGGATCAGCGGCAGGTGGGTCTCCCAACATCGTGGGTTAGTCATTACCTGGGCGGAAGCTGTCCCCCACAAGGCTTCCCGGGGCAGATCGGCCACACCCTCACAACCACTATACAACTACATGTATTACCTTATAACGCGTCATGTTAAATATTTCATTAAATTCATGTACTAAATTTATATAAATTATACTGCAACAGAACTATATACAGTATCGGTAGAGTAATTACACCTAGTAATAGTACTTACAAGGCTTCAAAATACGAAGCTAACAATTCAAAAAGATTGATATCAATGCTTATGATTTCGTTTTAAGATAATAATGAAAATAATGTTCTATTGTTCAGACACACTATTCATTAAATATGTAAATACGATGAGATATTATCAGCATATCATATCTGCCTAAATTTAACATGGCTTATATATGACCTCTCGTCTTAGTGAATAAATGCAGCTATATGCTATGAATTCTGTCGCAACTGTGCAATGATTCGATACACAGATTATGGTTTCAACAAAATTTACATTGATACCTTTTCACATCCTTATCAGAGAGGAACCTAAGAGGAAACAAAGTTCACTGCATTTGCCCTACAATATAGAAATCTTCATTGCCAACAACAAAAAATAAGTTCTCACTAAGTCTCATTACATACATCAGAGTCCAGATAGTAGTCGAGGGCAGGTGGGTGGCGGGAAACAGCGGCCACCTCTCCCCCTCCAATATCTCAAGGGCAGCTGACGCACTTCCCCTCAACTCTATGTAGTCAAGGTGAAGTACTGACATCGTGCGCAATATCCACACCAAAATTAAAACAAATACACATTTCTTTGCATTAAAACACGAATTAACTGCTTTACTGGGTAGAAACTGTACATTGGGTAGATACAAACAAAATTATTTTAGATTTTAATCTCAACTATTTAAAAATACAGTACCATGTCGCAGTTTGTAAAAAAACAAAAACTCTATAGACGCAGTATTAAACTCCAAAATCAGATCTTCCAAATAAAACCGGTTACTTTGTATCCCTTACAATATTTCGCTCTCAGTAGATAAACGACATATGAGATAAAGAAACAAGTAGTGTATTGTGAAGACTAATAACACACAGCAACTCCTCTATAACTCTGTAATATCTCCAAATTGCTCAAACAAGTAAGTATTAGCGATAAGACCTACCATTAATGTATAATGACTTACTGTAAATATACAGCTCTTTAAATAGAACATTCTCTGTAACTAGCTGACATTGTAATTATAAGGTGTGAAGGATAGAAGAAATTGCCAATGTAATAATCTCCGTTGAGGTCCGATAAAGATCTTTTGTGCCCTCTGTAATCTTTTTTGCACTACCGCTCACAGGTTGAGCATGGGGTGCACAATAAACTAGCCGCCTCCGGCGGCAACAATAATAAAAAAATGCAATCATGTGAAGGCGAGTTCTGTATGATGCCAAAGTCAACAATAAATAAAACACAAGTGCCTACTACTCACTAAATCAACTCAAAAATATCTTTATATAGGAACTTTTATGTTTGAGCAAAGCTGCGTTCAAGTCTCTAATTAATATGTAGATATATATATTAAATAATATTCAAAACGTTACACCTTTATGTATCTGTATCATTCCTATGAACTTGACAACCGAAATATATATGATACACTTATATATATGATACATAAATCAGTGTGCGAATGACGTCACTGGTTTACGAAAAGTGTCATGCAAATTTGTCTTTTACGGTAATACATATAAAGTCCTTACAAAACCTTTCTTTAATTACACACCGCAATCTTATTGACTTATAAAAAACCTCTTCGTATTAGAGCTTCTGTGTTGTGTTGAATAAACTTTACAAGCAGGCCTTTACAGAATAACTATCCGGCACATGAACTTACTAGATGGAGTATCCGGCTGTTTCCGGGTGTCTCTCATTTCCCCCGTCCCACCCCAAATCCTTAACCCGACCCCTTTCAAGTGCTATATAGTCGTAATGGCTTGGCACTGTCCCCTGATAATTCCTTCCTCCCCCTCTCACTCCTTGACCTTCAATATTTCCCTTTCCCCCTCCCTCTCTCCCCTCCTCTTCCCCTCCCTCCACACTAAGCATATTTAAAATGGCAGACAATTGAAAAACTAATATAACTCTACGGAAAACTAAAACTCGATTTCAGACCATGAAAATCAGAGGGGTTCGCCATAGATGCCGATATTTTGTAAAGGGTGGCACTGAAGCCGACTTGAAATGGCGTATGACACTCCCATATCACCTATGTGTCACCTTGAAAAATGGGCGAGACTAGCCCCAAGAGTCTCCCTTGAACAGACAGGCATTCTCTTTTATTTTTAGAAATGGTTTGAGAGAACAGCAAATAGTTCAGTAGGGCCTACCTGTACATACATCCAGTAACAGTACCTGGCGCCATGGAAACACAAAGCTCGTCCCTTAAAAGTGACCTGGCTTACAATTACCAAGTAATATGTTACTATTCAGTCCTGTCTAGAACCAAACCTAGGCTATCCCTAACATCACATATCAAAAGAAGGGCAATTACACAAATCGGCTGCCTATCTTCTTCGTCCTTGACCAGCCTTTGGAGTACGTACAAGATAACGCCAATACCCATTCGAACGTTGAGTCTAATTTGTTTTCTTCCTATTTCTAAAAGATTATGATAAGTTGACAAAAAATTATCACTGCTTTATCATAGAAATACTAAGGAAAAGGCAAACCTCTCTTGAAACCGGAAATGCTTGGGAATCCTAAATTAGGATTTCTAATAATGAATGGTGTTTATTACTGAGAAACTGCTTAGAATAACCTAAGCAGGATGGTATAACAGATCTTTCGCGTTCAATCACATTCGAAGGTCCGGGATTCAATTCTCGCACAGGACGGAGACGTTAAGGTGTTTAATACACCTGATTCTTGTGTTCACTCAGCAGTAATTAGGTGCATGGGAGATGAGACTGTTGTAGGTTGCACCTTAAGGGAGGTCATTTTGTTGACCTAGGTTAACAAGCCTAACAGGCTTCCTCTCCTCGATAATGGAAAATCCAAATAGACGAGGTCTGAGAAGTAAACCAAGTGTACCTCTCAGGTTTAAATACATTCACTCACTTGCCTCGGATATTACACGGTGTCAGCTTTAGATACCGTGTCATGTGCTCATTTGCATTAGTAAGTCTTTGTTAACGCAGTAAATATGATCCTTGAAAAAAACAGTTTGGATTACCCGAAGGTGGGCTCTTTCAGGCTGGTCCCTGAAGTGTAACCTATTCAGTACAAAATATTTATATTGCAACCAGTCCTCCTAATAACACGTCGTATTTTGACATATGCTCTACCTAAGGTAAAAAATTGCCGTACTAGAAAATGGTAGCGGCTCGCGAATCTAACCATGTCCCGTTTTCTCTTCCTGTGTCCTCTGGTAGGTTAGGATAAGGCACGTTAGTACGACAGTTTCTTGACGTTGGGAACGTTCGTGAGAACGGGCTGAATATTGTGATTTCAGCACGCAGAAGTCGGGGCGAGATGAGGAATTCTCCTTACTACAAAACTACCAGGCAATTGTTATATTCTTAATTCTAGTAGAGGTAAACAAAAAATTCCATCTATCCAAAGGGCTGCTTAGTTGAACCTGATGTTACTTATCGACAGTCAAAGCATAATCTAAACGCTTTCCAGATAAGTATTAACTACGTAATAATTATATATAATAGGAACACAGAACCTAGGCTAATTAGGCAATGCTGTGATTTATCCCCCTGGCACTACAGTAGCCATGTAATTACATGTTAGCTTAGTGCTAACACCGATCATTTTCGCTATTTGCATGTATAAAATACAGCAGATACTTTTGTTTGATTTAAAATACTACAGCAAATATCTAAAAACTGAAACTCGATCAGCCTTGTACTTGTTATCTGTTGGTGTTTACAGATAGCCCTTATCTCCTAATTGTTTTAACATTAATAGCATTTCACCATAAAATATTACTTCTTACCTATGAAACCTATCGGACATCGTGGCGTACGTTATTCCATCAGGTCGTATTCGAATAATTAAAGACTCAGAGAGCCCAGGACTGAGCGGCACAGCCTCATGCAGACACTGCTGAAGTCAGACTGGCGGTGTTCCCCAGGTGTCATCTGGACGCGTTAAGAGTTGCCGGTTACTCCAGTACACGGATGTTATCAGTGAGGTGAGATGCCTCGTCCGCCATTATTGAATGAACAGCAACTTCCAGCGCAGAACGACCTCATAAACAAAGGCTAAATGCTCATTAATCCATCAGCTAAATCCCGTGTTTATGTAACCATTCTCAGCAATGAAGAACACTTAAAACTGATTATGTTCGAACTTTTCTTAAGCAATGCTTAAGTGCTGTGTTCCTGTGTTCGAATCACACCTCTTTTCAAATGTTTCACCCCGTACTGCAAATACAAATAAGTGCAACCCGTCCTCATCAACAAACAT